CACTCGTTGTGCGCAGAACAGTCGTTCTTGGGATGCATCGAGCACCCAGCTTTCATTCAAAAATATAACGCGATTAGAATATGATCCTGCTGTAAATAACGCAATGCTGAGGATCAGCCGACGTACAGACCAGTGCATTTTATCCTTCTATTCGAGCACGTTACCAACGAACCCACCCCAGCGGAGAGAAAGATTTGGGGAGAACCGACATGCGGGACTGGCATTATGTCCTGTGCTTTTTGAGCGGTGCCACATGTCAAGTCTCTGTTTTCTAGTTGTTGATCGAAAGTATAAATGGAAAAGTCTTGTAGCTAATCAATCAATTTTGGGATACGCCACGCATTATACTTACAAGAAGACTTGGCTAAACTGGGCGGAAGCCGATCCGGGGTCGAGTCCCCCGCACCGCGCGCGATAAGCATGCAATATGTCGCTACACCGCCTCCGCTTTTACCTCTTAATTTATGCTGAAATATAGTTTTCTATGAAGGAGTTTTTTTTCAGATGGCGTGGAGCGTTCTTCCTCACACTGGGCTATTTTATGGCTCAATGTTCCATCGAAGTCGATCGACGGAGAGATCTTCGACGGAAGGAGGAGATGGAAAAGAAGAAACTCTCTGAACCAAAATCCGAATAAGATGCCCATTTCTTTACAATGTCCCCTAATGTGCCCCACTGTTCTACGTGCATTTGCTAAATCCCATCAATTCTCGGAATCTCCGTTTTTCTTCACATTCTTCTGTGAGCTGTTGAGAGTGGGCCGCCCTTCGTCAACGTGACAGGAGCAGTTAGCGCGAAGCCAAACATTTTTTATCCATTTTTTTCATTTCACAGTTTAGTCCATGTCAATAATTAAGTGCAGTGCCTAAGAAAGACTGATAAAGTCAGATATTCTTGAAATTGCAAACCCGTGAATTTGTAAAAAGCTATTCGCTACTCAAACAATCATTGAAGCGGGGGCATTGCATTCAGAGAGATTTACGATGAAAACGGACGATAGGAATGTGTTTGCACTGTACGCGATGATCAGGAAATTTGCTTGCTTGGAAACCTTTCGAGAGGAATTCGCCGAGGCCAGCTGCACTCGACAGCAATCCCAGCTATACTACTTTATAGGCCCTGGTTTGATCATGGGCATAACAGATCACTTGTTTGGATTCAACTGTAAATGGGAAGGTAGATTCAGAAATGAAGGACACGTTCAAAAAACCAAAGAAAAATGAAGGGTAAGTTCACAAAGGGCGCAGTTCGGCGACGGGGGGGGGGAAGCTTTGGACGCTACTCCCTATCGACGTGTCGACCTATCTAGACAGCCTCTTCTCGAGTTGACAGGTTTTAACATGATGGCTTGACGACCTTGCTCCAGCTTCACAAGAGTTCACAGGTTTCGCCAGAGTGAGACTTGTAAACCGGAACTAAGGAAGCAATGATAGTACAAAATGCCCCCATCGCCAAAATGAGCCTTTATAAAGGATAGGAATGGCACAGTTAGCGTTAGCGATATGGGCGGAAATAGGAAAATCTTCACTACTGCGCTCACTTCTGGAAGGGTAAAGAGGAGTGTCATGGTTGGGCAACGGCCGAGACCAGTCTACCGTCAGAGATCATAGAAAAGGAATAATAATGAATTTGCTGCATGAAAATGACTTAGGGAGCCATGCGAAGAAATTTTCATTTATTAATTCTCCCAAGCAGGTCTGCTACCAACTATTTGAGCCCAAAGGGAAACAATTAATTGGCCTGATCAGAAGTCCATTCAAGGTATGATCTCACAAGCTCTGAGTGTGCTAGAGAAACCACTGGCTGCACACCACCTTCGCCCATGAACAGCTATTTTGCAGAATTACGGCAAGCTTCCAATATCGACCTAA